GTATCCAGAAGTTGCCCTGGCCGAGCCAATCTCCTGACATGAACCCCATCGAAAACCTCTAGGCCATACTCGACCGGCAAGTCAAGAAACAACCAAAAAACCAACTTCGAAGAGCGATCTACCCCACGTTTTGAAGTAAAAGTGGGCGAAAATCCCACAATCTAAAATTGACGAGATGATTCTCACGATGCCCCAAAGGATCAACGAACTCCACGAAGCGAAAGGAAGATCTACTAGATATTAATTAAACTATAAATATATCAATTCATGCGAATATGACTGAAAATTTTCATTTTTTCTGAAAAAGTGGTGTCTTATAGACTTATCATCAACGTGTATTATATATATTAAAAGCAATGATGTATAAATAGCATAAAGTAATGCTATAGAAACAGAATACAAAGTACATTCTCGTTTAACAAACTGGGTTAACTAAACAGGTCATTAAGATGCAACACGGAATACTATAGACGAAGAGACAAGAACATCCTACCCTGGGGCTGAACTTTTCAGGCACACGAGGGAGGAGCCTTTCAAACGTATATTCTTTTCAAATTGAAATCCTTAAGAACAACATAATCATACTTAGTCTATAAGAACTGCACACTATTATTCACTTGAAATGATTATTATTTTTTATTTCCCCTCAATACTATTAATTTCATACAGTTTAAAACGTGAGTTTTTTAATTAAGTACTTCTTCCTTGTAGTCCTAGTTGTACCTCGGTAGCTGAACGATAAATTTTAAGGATTATAACGATAAAATTCCGGGACTCGATGCCAGCAGATAAACGATTATTTACTTTTCACTGCTTATAATGTATTCCAATCCTCGTGGATTTGTTTCATAACTCTATGTAGATTAATCGTAAGAAACTTCATGCTTAACCAAGTTCTAATGAGTGTTCTCTTAGCTTAATGTGTCTGCACTAATAACAACACAATACACAGAAGTATGCTAAGGGGGAGATTCTTTATTTCCTGTGATTTCTACAAATTCCAATGTATAGGCTGTACAAACAAAACAGGGAAAAGATGTTACACTCATATTCACATAGATGTCAAGAAATTAGACAACGTATTTGTAGGGGTAGCCCCAGGAGTAGTGAGGAGCAGCCCAGTTGTAGTGATGAGGAGCGTACTGAACAACTGGCTTGACGGGCTTGACCTCAACGGGCTCGATCTTGCTAACTTCAACATTAGCGGCGGTCTTCTCAGGAACGTCCCCAGAGGTTCGCATCTTCACCCGGAAACCAGCACCATCAGCGACGTAATCGACATGGCGGATGTTGCCGTCAGCCTCTCTCAGACCATAGGAACCAACTTTCACGTTTCCATAGCCAGTGCCGTGTTCCCTGCGGTAAGAACCGCCGGCTAGATGATCCTCATCGTAGCCAAAGTTGTAGTTACCGATGGTCTGTATTAAAATTATAAAAAAGTTAAGACAAAATATAAAGAAATAAATTATTACCATGAAGCTAAAACATCTAAACAACCACAGAGAAAAATATTTGGATTTTGTTGAGATGTTACATAACGATTGCAGCCTATTTATTTAATATATTATTGTCATTTGTAGCCTTTGATGTAATATAACCTTTATTTTTTGTGGATTTTCTTGTCTATTGACTTTATTTATTGAATTTATTATAAGCAAAACTAATAGATAAAAATTTAACATCAGTCACACAGTAATTCAAATTAATGGATAGCTGATAACTACTCGTAAAACGTCCCACTTACATCCTGGTTTCTGTACTGAGTGCTCATTCCGAGACCGTAGTAGTAACCAGGGTAATAGTAGCCAGGGCGGTGCAGGACAACAGCCTGGCTAACAGCAACAAGAGCAAGGACGATCAACAGCTGAGAAGAGCAAAAAACAACGTGTTAGCCACAATGATTAGAAGCACGTGGAGTCGAAAAACAGGAAATTTTAAGATTAAATACAAAATAATGAATTCATAAAAATACAACTTGAGAAGCTGCATAAGGTATTTGTTAAATAAATTTTTGTCGAACTCGAAAAAGTTCTTCATCTTTTTTTTTTAATTTTTAGTAGGAAATCAAACTGTTTAATTTCTCTCTTTTAGCGAATATAATTTTCAAGAAATATTATTCAAATACAATAACTCCATCTTATATTTCATTAAAAGTAACTTAACAGCAAATTATATAATTTGGCTTTATTTTTATACATATAAATTTAAATGTTTGAACTATTGTTTATCTTTAAAAAAATAATCAGAATATTATAAGTATTGTTTAGAGTTCGTAAGAAACTTGTGTAATCTTACCTTCATGGCTAAACGTAAAATTTGGTACTAAGTCTTTTCACGACAAAGTGTGATTTCTTCCTACCAGACTGGACCTTTTATAGTTAAACTGACCACATTTTAAACCAATCACCGTACCTCCACGTGACCCTAGACCTACCACGCCCTAAAAATTGGTACCTGGCTTTTCATCCTTATCTCATCTCTAACGCTTGTTTTAAATATACTTAGAGACATTAAGAACGAGTTAAAGCTATACATATGCATTACGTTTTAAAATAACCTTTACTGTAATTATCTTTATTTCTCTCAACTACTGTAAACTTAAATGAGCTTAAGAAGCCCGGTTGGGTTTATCATATTTCACCTGAAGATTCGCATGTATTACTTAATCTAACTTTGAATATTGATTACAAAATATGGGCATTGTTACTTTGGGCATTGTGTGGCATTTTACTCTTATCTTGTTTTCGCTAATTGTTGAGAAACAAGTTGACTTGGATTATTTCTCCTGAACAATAGATTTTTGAACAGCCACAAAACAGTTAAGGCCACATCGTATTAATATGTACCTTACTTTCTGGAGATTAGCATTCACACTATGGTGGCGACATCAAGCGGCTACCACAAAAATATTAAACATTGGTGTTCACTCAGAATATAAATATATGTGGCAAGCTATGGAAAACGACCATTATCCATAATTATAATTTTCTCTAAATAAACCAAAATATGAACACTGAAATAGTTCTACATCAACTGATGATTTTTATATCATTTTTCATCTTGAAATTAACTTTAATTCTAAGGATGACACGTCATCAGTAATATATATCAAGGTTACACAATTTCCCATTTTAAACATTACTCTGTTCTAAGAGTGATATGTCACACAACACACCCCTACTACTTGAGAATATAAGAAGTGATATGTCATATAACACACCCCTATTGCTTGAGAATATAGAAGTGATATGTCAAATAATACATCCCAACTACTTGAGAATATAAGAAGTGAGATGTCAAATAACACACCCCTACTACTTCAGAATATATGAAGTGATATGTCAAATAACACACCCTTACTATTTGAGAATATGAGATATGATATGTCAAATAACACACCCCTATTACTTGAGGATATAAGAAGTGATATGTCATATAACACACCCCTACTACTTGAGAATATAGAAGTGATATGTCAAATAATACTTTGACATATCACTTCTATATTCTCAAGTAGTAGGGGTGTATTATTTGACATATTACTTCTATTTTCTCAAGTAATAAGGGTGTGTTATTTGACATCTCACTTCATATATTCTCAAGTAGTAGGGGTGTGTTATTTGACATCTCACTTCTATATTCTCAAGCAATAGGGGTGTGTTATTTAACATCTCACTTCTTATATTTTCAAGTAGTAGGGGTGTGTTATATGACATATCACTTCTTACATTCTCAAGTAGTAGTGCTGTATTATTTGACATATCACTTTTATATTCTCAAGTAGTAGGGGTGTGTTATATGACATATCACTTCTTACATTCTCAAGTAGTAGTGCTAACACACCCCTACTACTTGAGAATATA